AGGAGATTGAATACATAACATATATGCTGGAGCATAAGTGGAGCTCAACTGAAGCTGAACTGAACTGGAGCATTGCAGGGCAACACGCTCGCACGTTCATAAATGTAATGCAATTTCAAGTAGAACTTTCATTTAATTGAGTATTTTGGTGTTAAGCTTGTCCTCAGAGCATTCACATACCACATAGACACGCACACCCACACTCGCTTACAAGTTTCATACGTACAGCTGAGGCTTTGCTCAAAAACTTTGTGCGTCATTTCGGCACAAGCTGCTTTGCGGTTGCTCATTGTCTAAAAGAATTTAAATAGAATTGGGCTAAGCTGCCGCTGCGCTGGAACTCTTGCAAATATGTTACACAGGATGACACCAGCTGAACGTTGCATTGCAAGAGATTAAAGTGAATTATGAATTTTAAATGGAACTCTGCATGTCTAGCATTTCCTTGACAAAATTATGAGCTACTAAAAAAAATGCAAGTAACGGTGCGCTTGGCGGGAGTGAAGCGCAATGAGAGCCAAAAATTTAAATTCGGTGTTAACTTAATTTAGTAAGCTGCAAAATTATAATAAATGAATTGAATAGTTAATATAAATAGATAAACGTACCATTTATTATATTATTTATTGCCGCTTGTGGTATATAATAGAATTAAAAAAACCCAAAATTTCAACCTAGTTTCCCACTAAACAAGTCTAACCGCAAACAATTACAAAAAACTAATTAAATACGCATAAATTAAATATAATTTATATATGCTGACAATCAATTCTGATGATAGTTTATTCATTATTTTAATTATCTCAAATACAATTATCCTTGAACTAACTATTAATTATTTAGTTTGTTTTCTTGTCAGGAATTAATTAGTTTTCATTATAAATAGAAATGTATTTTTTATTATCAATGAGAAAATCGTACTTTTAGCTGGAAGAAGCCAGAAAATTCTGAGAAATACTTACCTCAATACCACTTCGACAGAAAAGGGAACAAAATATAAATTATTTATAAAATCCATTTACTCTAGTTCTGAATTGCTATCAATTTATTCTACACTTTGTACATGATGTTATATAATATTTTGTCAGGAAAAAAAACTCTTTGCTTTGCCAATTGAATTCTGAGTGCAAATGTGCTTCAAGGAATTTGGCAAATTGCTGAAAATTGTAATGGACTTGTGCAAGAAATTCGAGCTATTCGCATGTAAGACAAGTAAGCCATAAAAAGAACAATGCTTAACCATAAATAAGCAGCACGAAAAAGCGCATTACAAACACACACCACTAAAAGAAGAAGAAGAAGCAGCAGCASATGACTAGGCAGCAGCTCACATGAGTTTATTATCTGACAGGCTAACAAGAGCAAGAGGCAGCATGTGTGTATTCTGTATGTGCTCTGTGCAGTGTAGCATCATTTTATTTATGCCCAAAATGCGGCGCAATGAATAATTATGCAAATGGGTCAACTAGCGGTCAAGCCAAAGAATTTTGGCTGCCACCTAAATGGAGGCAAAAGGGGCGAAATGTTGAGGGGGAATGAGACGAAACAGGCCGCAGCCACTGCAGCAGTTACAAATTACAAGTTTACACCATTTTGGCCCCAGCACTTAAGCGTCGCATCGCATTGGCCAACACAAATGCAGTTTGACCAAAATATGACCATTACGGCTTAACGTTAAGTTACGAGAGTGCAGCTCCACCTCCTGCTCAGCTTAAAAGTCAACTTCTCCAGCGATGCTTCGGAATGTCGCTGGCAGTCATAGATTTGAACTAAAAACTTTGCGCTTTTGTTTTTTCGTTTCGCCCAGCAGCGAAGTCCAGCGAAAATAATTAACAACTTTTTGCCTCTTACTCCAAAATAAAAAGATTTTCCACTAGGTTCCATCCAAATTTTTTTTTGTATTTTATTTAATCTTTCTCGCGCCTTTTGTCGCCCGAGTTGGGCCAAGTCCAAGTCCAAGTTTTTTCAGCAGAAACTTTTTGTTGCCTTTTGATAGAAACTTCAAGTTTTTCGTCTGTCGCACTTTGATATTTGAGATCTTTTTAGCCTTGGCTGTCTGGCAGGCAGCTCATGAAAACTTGCGCCCAAAAGTATCTACGCAAAACTCACAGCTTAATCGTTTGCAGATTTCTATATATTTTTTCTTTGTTCATTTTGCTTATCCTGCACGGCATAAGATAACAGAAACTATACTAAGAAAAAGTTGATTAAGCATGTTCATTTTAACCCATTACTATTTCCTATATTTTTGTGGCTGCTAGATATGCTTTAAAATAATTTATTAATTTTCAATTTATCGGAAGTACTTTTGTAACAAATTTATTTGAACTCGCTTATACTCTCTCCTTCTGTTCACTCAATATACAGGGTATCCGGCTGCCGCGTACTTAGTCAACCAGAACACTTCAATTCATGAACTTGAAGTGAAGAAGCTGCAGCCAAAAATGCGTATAATTTTGTCTTGAAATCAAAACAAACTTTCTAAGATCTGCTCTTTAAATTATAAATTATATATTTA